ATCGGCCGTGGTCGAACACTGGCCTAGTCCAGCATGATCCCGCTTAGCCCGGCCTATTCCCGTTTCAATGTTGCTGAATTCGTTGCTTTTTGATTTAAGAGAAAATTTAGCGTAATCTTGGATCGAATCCAGCCTAATCTGGCTTACTGGCTATCGGGGTGAACCATCCTTGACATTTCTTACGAAGACCATTCGAGGTTGCTTCATTTCAGATGGGGACGAAGGATTGCGCCACATCGCGGATGTGTCGGCGATGCGGCTTGACGCGGAACTCGATTTTCTCCACGCCGACGACGAAGTCGATGCATCGCCGACGTCGCCGAGGCGTTCCCGACGCATCGGCCACACGGCGCGATCCTCCGACCCCTATATACTCGGACCTCATTTGAGAGGCCTCTAACAGGGGCGTGCCAGAATGCGCTGAAAACCTGCTCCAATACCCTCTTCGGGTACGGTCGGACCGAGGCATAAGACCCAGGTCGGTTCGGGGATAGTACCCTGCTGTTCTTCGTGTTGCCTGGATGTTCTTATGCACCCTGGGGAGGGTATCCTTGGATGTTCTGTGTGTTTTGGTCGGCGGAGGGTCTCGTGGTCTTGAGGCATGTTCTTTTCTGTCTTAGGCTCGGCTGCACCCTCCTGAGTTCGGGGGTGCTCTGGGGCACGGGTGAGTCGATTCCTCACAACTGGGACGTCTGGTGAAGGGTCACATGCGGCGTTTCTCCCTCGATCGCCGAGTTTCGACCGAAAAGTTTGGCCGCTCAGAAAAATGGGAAACCCTGGGTCACACCCAAAGCGGTCTATTCGGACGCACCCCTATCGAGGATGGGCGCCCCCCTATCGTATATCCCCGGGTCGGGCCCCAAATTTCTGGTCCATTCGAAAACCTCCCAAAGCCTGGGGCAGGGGTCGACATGTCCTCTCACAGAAGGGGATCTCTCGCCCGCCGCCACTGGCCGCGTCCGGGCTGCCAGCCCAGCTCACCGGCGCGCCCGCTCCACCGGAGGCGCTGGCCGCAGATTCTCCTACCCTCGAGTGGGGCACGTCCCTCAACACAAATAGTCTGAGGACGATTTGCTGGATTATTTTTTGACTATTTTTGAGCATGTTTCGACTCGTTTTTATTTTCCGCCCCAAATAGGACGTGCCCGACCTAATCCTATCCCCTGAATCGTAGAATTCGCGGGGGACGAGCGTCTGTATGACCGAGACGGGGTCGCTCGGTTCAATGATTCGCAGGCGATTTTTCTCCCCCAGTCCCCGAGTTCGGCCCGAAAAGTCTGGCCGTTCGGAGTAAAGGGGGAAAATTTGGCCTTTCGGACCAAAAGTGGGGAACCCTGGGATACACTCAAGGGGGCTATTCCGACGCACCCCTGTTGAGGATGGACGCCCCCCCCACTGTATATCCCAGTGTCGGGCCTCACATTATTAGTCTATCCGGAAGCCCCACGAGGCCTGGGATGCAGGGGTTGACCTACCCCCCTGTCAGGATCGTCCTGTGGCCTTCCATCGTACGATCGTACCAGAGCTCGCACTCGGGGCTCGGGTTAAGTCGGGCGTGTTTCTCTACAGGAGGAACATTCAATGATAGTCAAACAGTAGCCTGTGGACGATTTTTGCGATTTTTGTATGTTTATATATATCTATATATATATGTATCGTTCAAAATAATCCGCCTGTAGGGTCGGGTGTTGCTAGAAGTACCCCTGGCCCAAGGCGCCCCCAGGATTCTCGGGATGGCCCAGACGGCCTCCAGGGGGCCCCAGGGGCTCCAAAAATGGAGCGAAAAGCTGGGGGCACCTTGGGCCAGGGGCACTTCCTAGCAACACCCGCTGGGGGGACACGCCCGACCCAAGGCGCGGGCAGCTCCCGCGGCAAAGCTGCGGCACGCCTTTCCTCGGCGGGGGGCCGCGTGCTCGCCCCCCCCCCCCCCCGCCGCCCAGCACGCATCGGCGGGGCGGCGGGCAGCCGACCCGCGCGGGTTCTCCGAAGGCTCCCGCGGAGGCCCCGTTTGGAGGGTTTCCCCGAAGGGCTTAGGCGACCCGGCCTCCTCCTCCTCCCTTCTCTGTCCTCCTCCTCCCTCCGTCCTCCTCCTCCCTCCTCCTCCTCCTCCTCCTCCTCCTCTTCCTCCTCCTCCTCCTCCTCCTCCTCCTCCTCCTCGTGTCGCCTAATGCCCCAGGGGAAACCGTGCAGTCCCGAGGGGCGACGGTTCTATAGGACGAGGGCAGATCATGTCCAGAGCGTTTTGGGACGCTCTGAGGAGGCCGCGGCGCCCGAGGCATCCTCGGGAGCCGCCGGATCTCAGAGATTCTCGATTCGGCCTCACCCGAATTTATCCTCGTCCTGCCTTCGTCCTACAGTTCCAAGTAGCCCCGAGGCGGCTGTGTGCTGGCCGCGCGATCAGGGCCCAGACAGGCACGGTGTCCGAAGCCATCCCACCAACCCCTGGGTGCTCAGGTTTTCGCGTGGGTCGTCACGTTGACGCTTCCCGTTTTTTGTGGGAGTGTGGGGCTTGTGCGGGAACGTCTCGTGGAGGGGATCTCTCACCCGCCGCACCGGCAGCCTCCTGGCTGCTGGCCCAATGCAGGTGTGTTCTCGCCACCAGATGCGATGGCAGTGACGATTCGTAGGCTTGCGCCGCATCCGCCGACCCCTTGGGGACCTGTCGCTTGTTGTTTTTCGCAGGAGTTATCTCATAGGAAGGCGCAGCGGTGAGAGGCAGGAGGAGGAGGAGGAGGAGGAGGAGGAGGAAGGGAGGAGCGAGGAGGAGGTAGAGGAGGAGGGAGGAGAGGGAGAGGAGAGGAGGAGAAGGGAGAAGGAATGCGGAGGAGGAGGGAGGAAGGAGAGGAGGAGGAGGAGGAGGAGGAGGGAGGAGGAGGAGGAGGAGGAGGAGGAGGAGAGCAGAGGAGGAGGAGGAGTAGTAGGGAGGAGGAGGAGGAGGGGGGGGAGGGGGAGGGGGAGGGGCGGGGGAGGGAGGGGTGAGGGGGAGGGGGAGGGGAGAGGGGGAGGGGGAGGGGGAGGGGGTAGGGGGAGGGGGAGGGGGAGGGGGGGGTAGGGGGGAGGGCGGAGGGGGAGGGGAGGGCGAGGGCGAGGGGCGAGGGCGAGGGCGACTGGCTAGGGCGAGGGCGAGGGGCTTCAGTGAATTTATCTTCCATTTTCCCGAGGACGAGCGACGGCGCGAGGAGGCCGAGGGCGCGCCCCCGAGGGCGCCAGCTTGAGGAGCGCGGAGCCTGCGACCCGCCCCGCGAGAGGGGAGGAGGAGAGGAGAGGGAGGAGGAGGAGGAGGAGGAGGAGAAGGAGGAGCAGGGAGCAGGAGGAGCAGGAGGAGCAGGAGGAGCAGGGGAGCCAGGAGGAGGAGGAGGGAGGAGAGGAGGAAGGAGGAGGAGGAGGAGGAGGAGGAGGAGGAGGAGGAGCAGGAGCAGCAGCAGCAGAGGAGGAGGAGGAGGAGGAGGAGGAGGAGGAAGGGAGGAGGAAGAGGAGGAGGAGGAGGAGGAGGAGGATGAGGAGGAGGAGAGGAAGAAGAGGAGGAAGGAGCAGGAGGAGGAGGAGGAGGGAGGAGGAGGAGGAGGAGGAGGAGGAGGGGAGGAGGAGGAGGAGGAGAGGGAGGTGGAAGGAGGTATCGGCATCGGTATCGGTAGGATGCGGCTCGCTGCCTGTGCGGGAGGCCGATGATGACGGGTTCCATCCTCCTGTGAGGGACGAGCCCCGATCGAAGGGGGAGCTTGGCACAGGGCCGAGACCAGGGGCAGCTCTACGCTGCTGCCACCTGTGCTGCTCGGCCTGCTTCCTCTTCTTTTGACGCAGCATATTCAAGTCAGGAGGTGGGGCAGGAACTGGCGGGGGAGGGGGGGGGGGAGGTTGGGGGGAAGTCGGGAGGCTCCTCCAGAGCGGCCTCGGTCTTCTCCAGGAAGGTCATGCTCTCCTCCTCCTCCTCCTCCTCCTCCTCCTCCTCCTCCTCCTCCTCCTCTCCAGGGAAGTCCTGAGCTCCCCTGCTCGCGGCGGCCTTGAGTCGCGGCTCGGACTGGTCGCATCGGGCATCCTTTTTCCGACCTCGGCGGTCGAACATGCCACAGTCTTGTGGGCGATATTGTCATCTGGCTCCAGTGCGAGTCGAGCGCTTTATAGAATGCACAGATCTCGTCAGTCAAGGGAGGCAGGTCTGTCCCAATGCTTGTGGCCGGCCTAGCATCCTCCAGATACATATGAATATATCTGGGTGGGCGGAGGAAGAAGTGAGGATGATGAGGAGGACGATGGGGAGGCCTTCTCGAGGTCTATGTGCGTCTGTTGCGAGGCCGTTTTGCCCTCGGAGGTCTCGGAGGGCCCTATGGCAACCTTTCGAGGCCTCCTGGGTGCCTCTTGGGGGCTTGATGGTGACTTGCTGGCGGTCTCGAGAGTCATCATGGGGTGGAGGGCTCGAAATTCAGTTCGTGTTCCCCCTCTGGGGTCCCGCGTGGAGACCTGTTGGGATCATCATGGGCCGTCTAGGGAGCCGCTTAGACCGTCTTGGGGCCCCTTGGGCCCCTCTTGCAGGCCTGTTGGGCCTTCTTGGAACGATCTTCGAGGCCTCTGGCGCCGTCGTGGAGCGTTAGAAGCTCGGAAAGAGCGCGTTCTGTGGACGCTGGGAGGGGGGGGGCTTGTTGAACCAGAGCCCCCCCCGCTGAGGTGCAGGGGGAGGGGACGGTTCGAATCGGCCCCCCCCCCCCTCGAGGGGGGGGGGAGGGGGGGTGGGGGGGCGGTTGGGGTGGCCGGGGGGGGGGGGGTGGGGGCGGGGGGGGGCGTGGGGGGGGGGGGGGGGGGGGGGGGGGGGCCCCGGGGACCGAGGCGGATGCCGGCATTGATGCCGATGCCGATTCCGACATCACGACTACACCGCGGCCGACGCCCGACGCCGCCGCCGACGCAGACGCCGACGCCGACGTCATCGCCCTTGCCGTCGTCTTTGTCGGCGTCGTCCTTTCGGCGTCGGCGTCGCCAGCCTCGCATCCTCCCCGCCGGCGGCCGCCGAGGAGGCTGAGCGACGGCTCGTACGCGGATCCCGGGGACGACGGCGCGCCGCTCTGGCCGCGCTGGCGCGCGCCCCGCCCCCTCCGCGCGGCGCCGCCCCGCGTCGCCGCCGCGGTCCTCGGCGGCATCTGGCGTCCATCGGCGGCCCTCGGCGGCCATCCGTCGGCGGCCTTCCGCAGGGGCAGCGGCAACGACGGTGACGCGGCAGCGACAGCGACGGTGGCGACGTTGAATTTGCCCGACCTCCTCCTCCTCCTCCTTGTTCTCCTCCTTGTCCTCCTCCTCCTTCGCCTCCTCCCCCTCCCCCTCTTCCTCCTCCTCCTCCTCCTCCTCCTCCTCCTCCTCCTCCTCCTCCTCCTCCCCCTCCTCCTCCCGCTCCTCCTTCTCCTCCTCCTCCCCATCCTCCTCCTCCTCCTTCTCCTCCTCCTTCTCGTCCTCCTCCTCCTCCTCCTCCTCCTCCTCTTCCTCCTGCCTAGAATCCTGTTCATCTGCCAAGTCCTCGAATGAAGAAAGCCCCTGCTTCCCTCCCCCTTCTGTGTGCGCATCTCTTGATGGGTCGTTTTTGGGATCCAGGTCTTCTCGGACACCCCGTCGGCGGACACAACGGATCTCAGCACAACGGGGAGGGAGAGACCCGTGTGGGTGGCGAAGAAGGTCAGATGTAGCGCGAGCGCACCTAGCCTGTCCTCACCCTTTCCCCCCTTCATCCTGTCCCCCCTCGCGCCCCCCAATTTTACGCTCGCGTCTTCACCCGCTCCCCCTCCCCTGCTTCCTCCTCCCGCCCCCTCGCTTCCTCTTGTCCCTCCTGCCCCTTCTCCTCCTCCTCCTCCTACTACTACTACTCCTCCTCCTCCCTTCTGCTCCTCTTGCTCGCTCAAAGCCACGATACACAACAAAAACTGCCCCCCGCGGGCGACGCTCCGCAGACGATGATACTGGGTGGGCAGGCAGAGAACGTCATCGGCGCGGTAGCACCCACGTTTCGTCACGCATGCCAACGAGGCGACGTCCTCTGACTCCTCCTCCTCCTCCTCCTCCTCTTCCTCCTCTTCGTCCTCTTCCTCCTCCTCCTCCTCCTTCCCCTCCTCCTCCTCCTCCTCCTCCTCCTTCTCCTTCTCCTCGTCCTCCATTTTTGCTCAAGCGACTGCATGGCCTCACCTTCGCGCGCCCCCTGCTCGGCGAGGCGCGGCTGCGGGATGTCGGGGCCTAGAGGGGCTCCCTCGGCCTACGGTGCCTCCTTGGTGGAGGCCGCCGTGCGGGCCGCGGTGCTGGCTCGGGCGCCGCGGCGCACCGTCGCGGCTGTTGCGCGCTCGGCCATCTCCGCCACGCTTTTCGCGTGCGGAGAGCGGCCGAAGCCGACGGCCGAGGCGGCGCCTGCCGCTGCGGCCCCCGCCGTTCCTGCGCTGCCTGCTGGTTCGCTCGCCACCCCTGCGGCGAAGGCGGAACGGCGGCGGCGCCGCCGCCGTCGTGCCCTTGCAGCACAGCGTGCCGCGGATGCGCCACCCGCTGCTGCTGCCACGGCGGCTGACGCTGGATCTGCTGCTGGAACTGCTGCCTTGAGCCCTGGGCCCGAGGGGGCGGTGGAGGCAGAGGTGCCCGACGCGATGGAGGAGGAGGTGCTCGACGACGAGTGGGCCGACTCGGCCCCCGTCGTGCTCTCCTCGGCGGCTGGCGGTGCTGCGCCCCGTGCGACCGCCGTGGAGACAGAGTGGTGTGCGGTGCTGATTGAGCAGTACCGCCAAAGGCCGGGTGTTTCGGCCGCCGACGTAGTGCAGTTCTCCGCCCTGCCGCTCGATGCGCTCCGCGGCCACGTGGGCGGGCTCCGGCGCCAGCGCGGGGAGGGGGAAGCGGGAGCAGGCGATAGTGCCGCGCCCCCCGCGGGGGGGGGAGGCCGCCGCCCTCCCCCCCTCCCCGCGCATGGAGTTCGCCTACCGCCTCTCGGCTTCGGCTAGCTTGCTCGCTCGCTCCTCCTCGTCCTCCTCGTCCTCCTGGTCGTCGTGGTCCTCCTCCTCCTTCTTCTCCTCCCCCTCCCCCTCGCCTCCTCCCCCTCCTCCTCCCCCTCCTCCCCTTCCTTCCCCTCCTCCTCCTCCTCCTCCTCGTCCTCCTTCGTCCTCTTCGCCTCCTCCTCTCCTCCTCCTCCTCCTCCTCCTCCTCCTCCTCCTCCTCCTCCTCCTCCTCCTCCCTCCTCTTTCTCCTCCTCTCCTCCTCCTCCTCCTCCTCCCTCCCCTCCTCCTCCTCCCTCCTCCCCTTCCTCCTCCTCCGTCTCCTCCGCCTCTTTTCTCCTCCTCCTCCTCCTCCTCCACCTCTTCCTCCTCCTCCTCCCTCCACCCCGTGTGCGCGCCGCCGCCCCCCCCCCCGCCCCCCTCCTTCGACCTCCTCCGCGGTCTCCTCCTCCTCCTCCTCCTCCTCCTCCTCCTTTCCTTCCTCCTCCTCTCTGCTGTGCGGCGCGTGGTGGCGTTGCGCGCGCCCTCCGCTTGGGTGGCATGATGTCGGCCAGGAGCGGCCAACAAAGGGGCAGCTGCCCGAAGGCTTGGGGGGACTTCTTTCCAAGATGCTGATCCGTAGTTCGTCATGTGGGGTCCAGAGGAATCCGCGGGGTCCCGAGGAAAAGTTGCCTCGAGGGTTTCAACCTTTTCGGCCTCCCAGGGCCCTTGCATCAGGCTTGGGACCGTCGAAGAGCGATCCAGGATGAACAACTTGTCCCAGGTCCCAGAGAGAGCCGCGGCTTGAGGAACCGTTTTACTTGGGGAGCCCTCTTCTTTGTGCCAGCATGGTGGGTGCGAGGCGCCCGAGCAAAATCGTGGAGACATGTCGGGCCAGGCATGTCGGGGGAGGCGGAATTCATGGTTGGCGCCCAGCGCCAACAAACACCGCGGTGAGTGTGGGTGGGGGCGAGTGAAGTTCGTTCACCAGTTGTTGCTTTTCCCTGAGCTTCTTTACCCTTGTAGTCTTGGCCTGCAGTTGCCTTGCTCTCGCGTTGCACGCCACGCGAGCGGGAATGCCGCAGCCTTCTCTGGCCCAGAACAGGACCTAGACTCCGAATGGCGTCGCCAGCGGAAAAGTGGCTGAGATCGGGAATGCACCAAGAGGCGTAGCGGTGCGGGGGGAAGGTGTCAGGGCGTGATCGCAGGCATGGCGAGCGCCGCGCACGAGAATGGTGGACGACGGGCGCGAAATATCGCACGTGTACGGGCGCGGGAGCGTTGCGCTGGAGAGTTCCGGCGCTGCCGACGACGGCGCTCGACGAAGACTCTGGGCGACGACGACATTGAGACGTTGAACACGACGGCGACGGCGAAAGCGACGACGCCGACGGACGCCGCCGCCGCCGCCGACGCCGACGCCGCACGCCGCGCGCCGACGCCGCCGCCGCCGAAGCCGACGCCGATGCCGATGCCGACGACGGCGACGACGACGCTCGGCGAAGACGCTCGGCGACGACGGCGGCGACGGCGGTCAGTGACGACGGCGGCGACGACGCTCGGCGAGAGCGGTCGGCGCGGCACGAGCGCGCGGAGGCGGTGGTTGCCACAGCTACCCTTTTGCCACTGAGAGACTCCATGGCTCTCCGCGCCACTCTACAGCCCTTCCTTCGCAGCCAACAAAAACACGCGTGATCGTCAACTCCTCGGAGCTCCCTGCGGATTTGTTGGACAGGCGCTGGGGGCCCCCCTGGCAGCGCCTCAAGCGTCGCCCTGGGCGCGCTCCGCGGGCTGGGCAGGGGGCCCAGCGCGGGTCCAAGAAAACTTGCGCGGGCCTTCGAGAGGTCATGGTTTTGGTCCCCTTGCCTTCCGAGACTCTCGGTGCCTTGTGAGGGGTGCCCCGGGGGCCATCTTGAACGGGGCCAATTTTCCACAACCGTTGCCATAGGTAATGAGGACGGAGGAGAAGGGATGATGGGGAGGTCATCCTGCCCCTTCTCCTCCTCCTCCTCCTCCGCCTCCTCCTCCTTCTCCTCCTCCTCCTCCTCCTCCTCCTCCTCCTCCTCCCCCGTCTCCGACCTTTGGTGGTGGTGGTGGAGAATCGGCCCATCATCCCTTCAGCATCGTTTCGTCGATCCCATCGGGGGCCACCTCTCGAGTAGGGAATCGATTACACCATCGACTTACCCCAAAACTGATATGCGCGTCGAATCTACGAAACATGCGTATACTGTTCATAGATCTACGAACACGATACCCGTTTTTTGTTGGTCGCCCCCCCCTCCCGTAGGTTCGAGATTCGATGAGAACATGATTGTTGGGCACATGAATTCTGCAATCGATGCCCTTTTCGAACCTCGGGCCATTGTGGCATCACCCCGCGGCGCTCCGCCGCCCTCCTCGCGGCCCGCGCGCCTGAAGCCCGCGGAGGTCGGCCGCGAGGCGGCGGAAGCACGGGCACAACGACTCCTGCTTCGCGACCCTCGTGCGGGGGTCTCGGGCCTCGTCGCCGACGCCGCAGGGGTCGTCGTTGTCGTCTGAAGTGTCGGTGCCACCGTCGTAGACGTCGTCGTCGTCGTCGTCGTCGTCGTCGTCGTCGTCGTCGTCTCGTCTCCGTCGAAGAGGTTGCCGTCGAGGTCGGGGAGAGAGGGAGGAGGACGAGGCGGGAGAGCAGGAGGAGGAGGCGGAGGAGGAAGAGGAGGAGGAGGAGGAGGATGGAGGACCAGAGTTGACCCAATATGCATCAACGATTTGACAACAAGCAGCCTCCTCAAGAGACCAGCACCGGCTGGGCCTGTCGTTCCCTCGAGGTCCCCGTTTTGAGCATCAGTTGACGTTGATTTTGTTAGCGAGTGGTCTGGACAGGGAAGAGGCGCTATGCTGCAGTTCAATGAGGTGTCCAGCGAGATCCCCGTGCTGGAAACGAACCGCTTCCAACTTGTGTGACTGTTGCACCATTTTACACTTGGGTCGGGCCTGTCCCCCCCACAGGGGGAATTTGGGCGAAACACAAAACATGCAAACCATACTCCGAAATAGTCAAACAATATTCAAAACATCGTCCTCATATTATTTTTTGACTATTTTGAAAAAACCTTCCTGTAAAGGGACAGGCCCGACTTAAGTTTACACCTCCGAACATGCATCTCGAGGAAGTCTCGAACGAGCGCCCCATCTGAGCAGGAACCGCCCCCCGTCCCTCCCTTGCAGCCGCTGCACATGTCCAGGTTTCGCTGGCTTGTGCCAAGGGGGTCTCGAGCAAGACCCCCGTTTCGACAAGGAGTCGTCATCTTTTTGTAGCCTTCAGTCGGGCGTGTCCCTCTAAAGAGTAGTAACAAAATAGTGTGGTGACGATTTGTTTTTGGTTTCTTGATTTGTCTGGGATAGTTTTGATTGTTTGTTGGTTTTTATTTTTTCTTCCAAAATCCGCCTGCAGGAGGACATGACCGACCTCACTGTAACCGTTGCAAACTTTCCAGAGGATTGCTAGCCGCGCCGAGGCGAGAGCCTCCCGCCCAAGCCAGGCCCCTCCTTCACACGTTCCTGCGACTTCTCCGTTTCGCCGCAAGCTGCTACCCATCCCTACCCCATCCTTCTTTCGGATGCAACTCCTGGGCGGTCAACTTCTGACTTTGCCCAAGTCCGAAATCCGGTCTAATCCGGCTTAATCCCGTTTCATCCGGCTTTATCCCGCTTAATCCGCGGCCTGATCCGGCGTAGCAGCCCCCCAATGGGGCTTCATACTTCTGAATGTTTCCGACGAAGGCCACCCCAGTAGCTGCTCCCCAACCTTCTAACTCATTTTCCCGTTATCTGAGGGCGCCTTTGGCTTGGACAGGGTGCCCGCTCTTCACGCCATTGCATTTCAGCACGCCACCCCTTGAGAGGCCAGCACCCGCTGGGCCCTGCCGTTCAGGTGAGAGCCCCATTTTGGAAGCAATCTGCTCTGCTTCTCCTTGGCGAGTTCTGAGTGCGAGAGTTCAGCGAGGTGTCGAGCGATATATTTCCCCGTTCTGTGACGAGCCGCCCCCATCTGCGTAACTGCTGCGGGAGTCTACGCTTATGGCCACGCCGTTTGGTAACGCTTGAGCCACACTTTCCCGAGGAGCCGCCCTCCACCTGTGCAGCTGCTACACGTGCTCACTCTGTTGTATTCGGATTTAAAGAAAGTCTAGAGCGAGAGCCCCGTGCTGAAAAGAAGCCGTCCTCCATCCTTGCAGTCTCTGCAAGCTTTCGGAACGTGCGCGCCGCTAAAGCGAGAGACCAATTTTGGAAAGCAGCCGTCTGCCACTCTTGTAGCTGGTGCAAGCTTTTCAGACGAATGTGCGCGGCGCTATGGCGAGAGCTTCAATTTGAAACCCACCTGCACTCCATCAATGTAACTGTTGCGAACTATTAAGACCTATGTGTGTGGCCCTAAGACGAGAGCTCCACTTCGATAACTACCCGCCATCCGTTCCTGTAATTGGCTTGGACATGTCAAATCTTCAGGAGCACGCGTGTATATATATATATATGTGTATATGTATATAGAGTGCGGAAATCATATGCGAAACGCCCGTCCCGCCCTACTGACACGTCTGCTGGTCTGACGAGGAGGATTATATATATATATACACGAAGGGATTGAAGAGGAACCGTTCATCTTTTCGCACACCCCTGCGGATGCGTCTCTGCGCACTCAAGCACCGAGCATAGAGCGCCCACACGCGACCTTCCAGATCAGTGTCGCGCCAATTGTCGACCATTTGAGTCGACGAGGATTTTACCGCTGGACGGAACGTGAAAAGTACCACCATTGTACAGCCTAGACAATACATTCGGTAGCCAATCATGGGAGCCTGGTGTGCCCTATTCTTGACGCTTCGCGTGTCCACACAGGCTGGGGCTGGCGTCCTCGGCCGTTCCCTTGTCCGCTCTTGGACGTTGGAACGTTTTCGCGCCATTTTGGCTGCGCTTGGTGGTCTCGGTGCCTACCTCAGGCCTGTTGGACGCACCTGCATGCCCGTTCAGGGGCTGTCATGGCACCTGGATTGCTTCGTCTTCCCTGGACGCTGTCGTGAGCCGCCCGATCCTCGGCCCTGCGCGCGTTAGGTAATTTAGTCGCGTCCGCGGCCCGTTTGCGACCTTCCGCCGCTGGCGCTTCCGCCTGCGGCTGTTTAAAAAAGTGCCCCCACCAGCCGGATCTATTCCGTTGAGCGCCCGCATGCCTGGTCGATACTCCGAGACGTCGACCTGCTGTCCCTCGTTCCGCGTCCCTCGGCGTGCCCTGGACTTGCTGTTCGTCGTGGTGGCGGTATTCTTCGTCATGGACGTGGTGTTGGCCTTCCCGAGTCCCACCACTTTGGTGCTGCACGTCGCCCGGATGGTCTCCCTGGCGTGCGCCTCCTGTGAGCGGCAGCGAGGCTCGCCTCCTGTTTGCCTCCCCCCTCGCTAGGTCTTGTCTCCTTTCGCCTTCCTCTTCCTGTGCTCTAATTTAGGCCGTTGCTCTGGTGCTTCGCCCCCCGACGCCGCCCAATCTTTTCGCCGCCGTCGCGATCAACACATATCCCCACCAGCCCATCCAGAAACGATGCCCATGAGATTTGACAGGGGGAGAGCAGCAGAGACGCGCATAGTCACAGAGCGAGGGAGGCCCGGGAGGCTTCGTGGCCATCTCGTGTCGTCTTGGAGCGGTCTTGGGGCCGCTTGGAGCGTCCTGGGAGCCATCTTGAGCCAGCTTGGGCTGTCTGAGCCTTGGAGGTCATCTTGGGCTCCCTGAGGCCGCTCCGGGGCCGCTTGGGTGCCTTTCGGGTGCCTCTTGGAGGCCTCTTGGGGCTTCTTGGGGCGCTCTTTGGGCCCTGTTGGGGGCCTCTTGGGGCCATATTGGAGGCGGTCGGTGAAAAGAGGGAGGGGTATTCGATTTAGGTCCCCCCTCGGGGGCCACGATCCTCGTGAGGGGTGGCAGAAAAATTGCCCTCCCAATGGCCGAGAAAGGAGCCTCCGACACCGCGCGATCCGTCAAACAAACTCCGGGAGGGGAGGGGGGGGGTTCCCCTCCCCGAACGGAAGAGAGGTGGTGGAAGCGGAAAGAGACCTTCGTTGTCGCCCAGAGGGCTGGTGGGATTCCGTCTTTAACGTCGATTCGGTTCGCATGTGGGAGTCGGCGGGGTAGCGCCAATTTTGCGTCCGCCAGCGTCGATTCAGCGTCGACCAGCGTCGATTCAGCGTCGATGAGCGTTGATAGGCAAGAGCCGACAATATGGTTTGTGAGGAATCTCGTGAGTCGCAGTCGCAAAAGCACGCCAGCCTGACGCGCCCAGCGCCTCTGTCTGGGTGCTAACAGAAGAGCCAGCCGCCCGGGCCGCGACCGCCGCCCGGACGACCCTGCTCTCCGCCCGTTTTGGGACGGCCCCCCTGGATGGGGTCGGAGAAAATAGGAGGAGGAGGAGGAGGAGGAGGAGGAGGAGGAGGAGGAGGAGGAGGAGGAGGAGGAGGAGGAGGAGGAGGAGGAGGAGGAGGAGGAGGAGGAGGAGGAGGGAGGAGGAGGAGGAGGAGGAGGAGAGGAGGAGGAGGAGGAGGAGGAGGAGGAGGAGGAGGAGGAGGAGGAAAAGGAGCACCAGGAGGAGGAGGAGGAGGAGGAGGAGGAGGAGGAGGGAGGAGGAGGAGGAGGAGAGGAGGAGGAGGAGGAGGATGGCGCCGCATCTCCGATGCATCAGCAATGCGGTTCGATGTGGAGTCAGAATAGCTCCCCGTCGACGTCGCTGATACATCGCCCACGTCGACGATGCATCGTCGGTGCATCGGCGATGCATCGCCGATGTATCGCCGATGCACAGCCGATGCGTCGCCGATGTATCGGCGCCGGATTTTGCAGGATCCTGCAGGGCCAGTGTCGCATTGACCTAGGTTTGGGTGCAGCATGGATCTTGCAAGGCCTTTTGATTTTCTTGCCAAAGGAGGACAAGCTCGACCTGAAACTGGTCTGCTTCGACTTCGGGAGGAGGGGTCCTTGGACCAGTTTTTTTTGGAGCGGACTTGCCCTTGTCCTCGGCGGAGGAAAGGTATCCATACTGCTGCTCTTCGCCCGTTTTTCCCTTGTTCGCCCTCCTGGGAGGCCCTCCACCGTCGGATTCGCGTCGAAATTCTGGTCAGAACGCACCTTTGGCGAGGTCCAGGGAGTAGCGGTATCGGTTCTTTTGGATTTCCTCCTGTCCCCCCCCCCTCTCTTGACCGATTGTCTAATAGCCCATCCAGCGCAGACCCCCTGGGCGCTTCCAATGTCTGTTCAGTAAAGGGGTTGCTCCGGGAACTCCCAGAGGGGCTGTTCGGACGCACCCTTGTCGAGGATGGCCCCGAGTTGTTCGGCTAGACGGAGGTCCCACCGCGTCGGGGATCGGGTTTGCCACGCCTTGTTGCAGGAGGCTTCCGACAAACTCTGCTCTCCCCTCGCGGAGACGCGCCGCACAGCCGAGGGAACAGAAGTGGTTCGAGAACACCACCCTCGTAGTCATCACGCTCAACGCACTGTGGCACGCCCCGCCCCCCGACGACGACGACGACGACGACGACGACGACGACGACGACGACGGCAGCTGCGGCGGCGGCGGCGGCGACGACGATGACAACGACGACGACGTTGGCCCGATGTGTCCAGTGAGTAATTCTGGTGCGTAGGGAGGTGCGCACCATCAGGCCCGTGTTGGGCTCTGCACTACCTAGCTCTTGGCCGTCTCAGTACAGGATGCTCGTGGCCGAGAACATCGGAACGCACGCACTGGGTCTGGGCTCATGCTGTGCGTTCCGAGACACAGGCGGGTCACAACATGAATCCGCGATTGGCTTCGGCTAGGAGGACACATGATGTTGTCCGTCTCGGGTCAGACCAGCCACGGGTGAAGCCCGAGCAACCGTCGGCCTCGTGCGCCGATGGCGCGCAGCATGTCGAGAGTCGGCCCAGCGCCGCGCCCTTGCAAGCGTCTTTGGCTTCAGGGTCGTGTGTCCGATTCGTCGGCGAGGCATCTGCGGGGGGGTGGGGTGGGGCAGCGGTCCCTCTCGAGGTCGCTGCGTCTTCCCAGGAATGTTTGGATCAGGTGGCCGACTTGTGCAACAGAGCATCACCGCCCACCAAACTGCCCCGACCCGACCGGAAGGCCTCCAAAAACCCTCCATTCCCAGTGGGGGGGGGCCGTCGGGAGCAGGCAGAAAACACAGATGGAACCCATCCCCCCCGACCCGAAAGTCGGGTCTTCGGGTTGGCTTGGGGTGGTCTGGTGTGCAGTCAGCAACTGGCCTTCGCGCTCCACCCTCTGCTCGCCATCCAGCCTCTCCGTCCAAGGGTTGTGCCATCTGCGTCCCTGGCTGCCCTCCAGCCCTGCTCCGGCGTTGGCACAGCGTGTCGGAGTTGAGTGTAGATGCATGTCGAATCTCGTCACAGTGCTCCCCTTTCACCGTCGCCGCCGCCGCCGCCGCCGCCGCCGCCGCCGTCGTCGTCGTCGTCGTCGTCGTCGTCGTCGTCGTCGTCGTCGTCGTCGTCGTCGTCGTCGTCGTCGTCCTCATCGCCCTCCCCCTCCGCTGCAAAGAGGAGCATCCGCGGGCTCGAGTAAGCTCCGTTGAGCACAGCCGCCAGCAGGTATGATCCGAGAGTCGTCTTCGGTGCTCTGGCGCCCCCGCGGCGCTCTCGCAGGGCCGAAATCGTGTCGGCGCTGGCATATCCGTGGTCGAAAACGGCCACATCTGGCATAACCTTGTTTCATTCCGCTTAGTCCCGCCTAATCCGGCCCAGTCCCTCTTGCGGCGAGCGAGGGGTGGAACAGAGAAAGAGAAGGCTTTCTCAGAAGGCGGCTGGGCTTCTCAGAAGGCCTCGGGCCTTTGAGAGGTTTTCTGTGTCTTTGGGGAAGGCTCAGGACCCTTCTCAGAAGGCCAGGGGACTCCCGAGCCTTTGAGAAGGCCCGCCCCGTCTCACTCCCCCCCAGGATCGCCGCCGACCGTAGTCCCGGGCTTACCCTGGGCCCATCCGGCTCAGGGGCCCCCCCAACAGGACCTAATGCATGACCCTTGAGCGTAATTTGAAGGCCTCCCAGGAGTTGCCTCCTCAGACTGTTCAGCCCTTCGCCGCGTCGGCCTTCGTCGTTAGTCGGGCGGCGAGCGAGGGGGGCAAGTGAAGAAAAAGGCCTTCTCAGAAGGCAGCTGGGCTTCTCAGGAGGCCTCGGGCAAAGCCTTCTCGCACCGATATCGAGGAAAGCGCCCCGCGGCGAGACCGAAAACAGCTGCACGTGCAAGGTTTCGTGGCCTTGCCCCTTCCATCCAGTCATCGTGCCACGAGTTTTCTTATTCATTGTTTTGCCGATCGGCGCGGGCCCTCGCCCCACCCCCCCTCCCCCCCATGGAGTAGATCTTGGCTGTTTTTTTGGCCCCTGTTTCGAGCAGGTGGGGTCTCCCCCGTAATGGGCGCACTGGGTGCACACAGCCGCACTAAGCAGAGGTCTGGAGCCAGACCCCCCCCTCCCCCCCTTTCGCCCACGGTTAAGTGGGGCATGTCCCTCTACAGGAGGAATATTCGAAAACAGTCCGGAAATAGTCAGAGGACGATGTTTGAGTATTTTTTTAATCATTTGTGAATATTTTTTGGGTGTGTTTCATTTTTCCTCCAAGATCCGCCTGTAGGGGGACATGCCCGACCTGAGCCCAGTGTCGAAACGCCGAATAAGACTCAGGAGGGGGAAGAAACACAGACACAATCAATCGTTGATTCTCAGGAACATATGGGAAGTGTGGGGAAGCCCCAAACCCAGAAACTATGGGAAGACCTGGGGGATCCTGAGATCTGTGTGTGTTCATCTGTGTGTCCTTGGGCCCCTTGATAAACGCTCACGCAAGGAACGCTGGACCCGCCCCCCCCCTTGGCTCCCCTCGTCGCCAATGAGTGCAGGATCTGCGTGGACACCGAGTGGAACAACGCCGCGCTCGTGGCGGCGGACGGCAGGACCCTCCCCGGCCGCCGCCGCCCGAGCGTCTCGCTCGCCCCGCTCCCCTCGGCGAGCAGCAGGGGGAGGAGGAGGAGGGGGAGGGGGAGGAGGAGGCAGAGGATGATGATGATGATGTGATGATGATGATGATGATGAGATGATGATGATGATGATGATGATGATGATGATGCTGATGATGATGATGATGAGGTGAGGAGGAGGAGGAGGAGGAGGAAGGAGGGGGAGGAGGAGGAGGAGGAGGAGGAGGAGGAGGAGGAGGAGGAGGAGGAGGAGGAGGGGGGAGGAGAGAGGAGGAGGGAGGAGGAGGAGGGAGGAGGAGGAGAGGAGGGGGCATGCACCTGAACTGGGGAAAAGAGGCTGGAGTCGGTCAATAATGAGGGAGGTTACGAGGGTGGTGGGACGAGGGAGGGAGGAGGGAGGCGGAGGAGGATACACGTTTTGGACGTAGTAGCTTAGTGTGGGCCTCCCAAATCCTCCGTAGACCTCTTTGAGACCTCTAGGAACCTCCGAAAGGAAGAGAGGGGTGTACGCAGTAAGAGGAAGGATAACCGAATGGGGGGGATCGAAGAGGGAAGGGTTATGATGGATATTGATGAGGATGGTGATGAGGCCGATAGCAGCCGCAAGACGAGGAAGGGGATGTCGGGCATGTCAGGACAATTGTATAGATATATGCGGAGGGGGATGAGAGGGTTGCAGGCCTCTAAGCAGGGCTGGAAGGCTGGCGCCGAGAACTCATTCGAACACGTACAGGGGTACTTGGCCGCGATCGGGTCGGGCCGGCCGGCTTGTCAACTTGCTGAAGATGAAATGGAAGTGGCAGTCGTACTCGAGGTTCTCAGGTATTGGCGAACGAATGGCTCCAGCTCTTCCTTGCACATCCTGCCATCCCCGAACGTCGCCATCCACTCCTGCAACTTGCAGGCGTCCAGCGGCAGGGACTGACAGACCTCGGTCAGCGCCTCGATTCACTCCAGAGCCTGCCTGGTGCCGTCGTCGTTGCTCTCGCCATCGATGAAGCAATTATCGCCTTCGTGAGACTCAGCTTCTATGTTATCAGCATCTCGAGGAAAACCAGTGGCACCACTAGGGGCACAATCCCCACGAATAGGGGTAACACCGCAAACATGTGAGGCTGCAACCACCTTCCTCCTCAGTCTCGCCGCCATCATCACTGGATAAATGAACATGTTCACAAACAGGCCCGCCTTCGCCATCAGGAGATGCTGCTACCAGGTCCCGTTGGAGGCTTCCCATTCCATCTGATTCCGCATCATCGCTTTGAGCTTCTTCTTGCCCCTCTTCTTCCTCCTCTGCTCCGCGAGCGCCTCGGCGGTTAGCGCCACCTCGTGCGTTCGGGAAGCCCTCGGTGGCGGAGGCACCTGCTTCGAGTGGCGGCGCGGTGGCTTCCTCACGATCCGCGGCGGCGGAGGCTTGCTCGTCAGACTCGGCGAGTTCGCTGAACCGCGTCGGGCGGTCAGCGCCTGGATCGCCGTGCCCCAAGCCCGCACACGGGTCCGCGGAGCTGAGGGCTCCTGGGGGGTGGAGGCGTCGGGGCCCAGAAGACTCCTCCTCCTCGCTCGGCCTCTCACCTCCGTCGGCACGGGGCGCGACGGGGAGCCCATCTCGGCCTTCTTGCCCTTCTTCCTCG